TGCATTTTGTGTATTCCTTTGCAGCCAGTTCAGCAGGTGAAATTTTCTGTTCACCCACCATTTCTCCAATGAAATCATGCATAAGCAAAAGTGAAATCTGCATTATGCTCAAATTGTTTCTAAATGTCAATCATACAGGAACAAATTCCCATTTTCAAAACAAGCATTATAGCAGAACTGAGTGTATTTATTCCTGAACTATGAACTCTGGAAAAACATTCTGAGTCATATCTGTAGTCTAAAAAGCCTGTATTATTCTTTCATTTCCTATCAGCCAAGGTCTTTACCTACAAAGAGCTGTTCTTCTCTGTCAGTATTGAGCCCCTGTGCAACAGGATCTAAAGCATTTCTGAACTGTGACTGTTTCTCCAGCTTTCCCGCTGGGGACAGCCCTGGTTTCAGACAGCCATGCCACATCTGTTTACATTTGTTGATTTCCTGTCCCCAAATGTCCATCTTAACAGAGGAATGAAATATCCCACAGTCAATAACTCACTGTCATTTCATACCATATACTCAGTAGCCAAATGTTTATAATGACCACCTACTAAATGCAAGACAGTATAGAAGAAATAAGATGGAATCACTTCGAATCCATCATGATTAGATAGAAAAGGTTAAAAAAATCAATCTTTACATTCAATCAACTTTATAGTAGGAGAAATATGTTATAGCACATCTGAAAAAAAACACAAGATAGAACAAAAAGGGGCTAGCATCTTGGTGTAGTGGGTTAAGCCATTGCCTATGACACCGGTATCCCATATGGGCACTGTTTCCAGTCCTGGCTGCTCCATTTCCAAGCCAGCTCCCTGCTAATGACTTGGGAAAAGCAGCAGAAGATAGCCCAAGTGCTTGGGTCCCTGCCACCCATTTTGGAGACCTGGAAGAAGCTCCTGGCTCCTGGTTTTGGCTTGACCCAGCACTGGCTGTTACAGCCATCTGAGGAGTGAACCAGTAAATGGAAGATACCTCTCTCTCTCTCTGTCACTCTTTCAAAATGAATGAATAAATAAATAAATAATCTTTAATAAAAGAACAGAAATCACTATAAGAAAATGCAGAAGGTATAAAATCAATGACTTTCAAAACTGTGAGAGAGAATCAAAAGAAATTTCATGGCAGTGGACAACAGCCCTTAAGGTTGGATATGAGGGAGACTTTCTAACTGCAGCATGAGTAAACAGAAAGAGGCAGGAAATGGGAGCTGGAAAGCATAGAGAACCAGAATCTTGGCCCTTACGACACATGACTATAATTAAGGTACAATACTGGACAGCAAATTTTATATGACAGGAAATCGGAAATTTACTGACAACCTTTAACCATAAGAATATGGCCCAAGTTATGAATAGACAAAAGAGAGTCCATTTGGCTTTCAGGAATCCAGGCTTTCAAACAGTCTTTGGAATGTTGGGCCAGGGCATCAGGTGGGCTTTCCCACGCCACACACTCCCAGACTTTGGGTGGAAGACATATCGATGGCTCACCTCAGTGGACACTAATTATGTCACTTGGTTGGAAAAAGTGTATGATATAGTGAAATAAAGAAAAGTTATCTGCATAATAAGAGAAACTAATCTTTTAGACTAAGGCAATGAAGGAAGATAAAGACTGTTATGGGGGCCTGTGCTGTAGCACAGTGGGTTAAAGCCCCAGCTTGAAGTGCCGGCATCCCATATGGGCACCGGTTTTAGTCCCAGCTGCTCCTCTTCCGATCCAGCTCTCTGCTATGCCTTGGGAAAGCAGTGGAAGATGGTCCAAGTCCTTGGGCCCCTGCATCCACATGGGAGACCTGAAAGAAGCTCCTGGCTCCTGACTTTGGATCAGCGCAGCTCTGGCTGTTGCAGCCAAATGGGGAGTAAATTAGCGGATGGAAGACTTTCCTCTTTCTCTCTGCCTCTGCCTCTCTCTGAAACTCTATCTTTCAAATAAATAAAAATAAATCTTTAGGGCCGGCGCCGTGGCTCAATAGGCTAATCCTCCACCTTGCGGCGCCGGCACACCGGGTTCTAGTCCCGGTTGGGGCGCCGGATTCTGTCCCGGTTGCCCCTCTTCCAGGCCAGCTCTCTGCTATGGCCAGGGAGTGCAGTGGAGGATGGCCCAGGTGCTTGGGCCCTGCACCCCATGGGAGACCAGGAGAAGCACCTGGATCCTGGCTCCTGCCATCGGATCAGTGCGGTGCGCCGGCTGCAGCGGCGGCCATTGGAGGGTGAACCAACGGCAAAAGGAAGACCTTTCTCTCTCTGTCTCTCTCTCTCACTGTCCACTCTGCCTGTCAAAAAAAAAAAAAAATCTTTAAAAAAAAAACTATTATGGTACCTAGCAGTAATATCCGAGTCGTTATCAGAACTTTAGTCTTGGTTATTAGAATTATATAATTAGGAAAATTAAATAATAATACTGTTTTGAAATGCATCTAAATATTTGACACAATGTATTTTTAATTATTAAGAAAATGCACACCAGGGTGGGCATTTGCTACATAGGTTAAATCAGCTTTTGAGATACCCGCATCCCATATCACAGTGTCTGGGTTCCAGCCATTTAGTTCAGCTCCTGATTCCAGCTTCCTGATAACACACCTTGGGAAGCAGCAGGTGATAGCTCAAGTACTCAAGGATGATTCCTGCCATCCATCATGAGAGACAGGGACAGAGTTCCAAGCTCTGGCTTTGGCCTGGCGCAGCCCTGGCTGGAGCAGGCAGCTGGGAAGTAAACCGATGGATAGTGAACCAGTGGATGATGTGCCTTTCTTCTTCCCCCCTACCTCCCTCGCTGTCGCCCTCCTGTCCTCTTCCTTTCAAGTTAAAATGAAAATAAATGTTTTAATTTTGAAAAATGTAGACCAATCTTCTGACACCAAAGCCTTCTTGGACAAATGCTGACACACTATATATAGCAAGCTCAAGAATTCACATTTCATTCAGATCAGATTTTACATTATCAAGTACAAAGAAACAATATTTCACAAACTACTTTAACATTTTATAAAATATACTGAAGATTAAAACTACCACATATTTCTTCTAATCAAATTTACAAATCTAATTAATACATTCACATAAGAATCTATATATAAATGTAACAAATTTAGCCAAAATATGAAGTATCATTTCTTCATACAGCTGAAAAGTTAATTTTAAGTGCTTACATGTCAAAGTAAACAACTGAAAACACACAAATCTTATGTTAATAATGAAATTTTAAAATATTTAATTGTTTAATGAGAGATACCCTATAGGGTAAATGTTCTAAAGGGTATATGATAACCTATTTCATTACATATTTTACAAAAAGATTTTACATAATTCAACCAAGCTAAGATTTAAATGTGTAAAATATAATGAACTGTTTTGGTTACCTTAAAACTTCAAGGCATTCCCTTAACTAAACTTCATACTTACCTTTATGAATTAACAACCAATGTTGTCACTGAGAAGTAAACTAAATGAGAGACTTCTCTATACAAATGATTTCACAATTACTTACATAGAATTGAGACTAAACAGGCTATTCTCATACTGTGCATATTCCGCTTAAACACAATTTACTTAAATTGAAAAAACTATCTGCAAGGGTAGCTGCTGGGAAGCAGAAACCTCTTAGGTAAACACGCCAAGTGCAGTAGACGCAAGGATATGCCCTAAAAGTGAGGACTCCTGGGTCAAAGAACCAACTGTTCCACATATCATTTCCAGCACATGACATAGAGACTTAAACCCCACATGATACTGACGTTTGCCTTGGAATTTGGCCAGTAAAGTTGACTGAAACTTTATAGCAAGGATTAAGAACAAACCAGGCCATAGACATATCAAGGAACATCCCCTATTTAGGCTGCCAGAAAATGGCATACAATATTTGTATGAGTTAAAATCTGTGTGGAATAATAAATGGCACAGAAGAATCTCAAAAAATAACAAGCACGTTACAAGAAAATCAGCACGGCCAAGAACTTATTTCAATAAAGGACCAATACATCCATACTCGTGGCAACTAAAATGAAGAAAAAGCCACCTTTCCCAGTTCCAACACAGTCACTTGCCTGGTTATCCGTTTTTGTTCTCTACTTGATATATTGTGGTGAAATGTTATCAGTTCTTGTTTGTTGTTAAATAGTATAACTAGCCCTGGACTTAATTACTTGCAACTGAACAATGATAAAAAAAGATTTCCTTTGAATAAGATTAAATATGACAAATGACTAAGGATTACAAAATTAAAGACATAATTGACTTCTTTCTATTAAAGAATTACGTGTATGTCATTAAATTTTTAAATGTGGTATTTAAAAAATCACAATTACAAAACTGGTTTTGGAAAGAGCTGTTCTTTAAAAATGTCCAGTAATTTGACTAAACATTTAAAAGTTCCATTAATATACACGGACTTAAAAAAAATTTAAACACACACATTCAGCTACATCTCAGTTCCCAAGCAAAATGTTTACACAGAAAATTGGCAATGTTAAGTCTGTGGACTCAAAGCCAATAATAACCTAAGAAGGCTAAACCTGGTTAATAAGAAAATTTTCATAGTACAACTAACATTGTATAAACAGTTTAAGGCAGTCAATATTTATAGGATAATCACAGCATTTTACATGTAAGATTAATTTCAAAGTAGTTTTAAGAAAAACTGATGAGTCTATGTATTCCCAATGGTTAATAGTCAACAGACTCTTCTTAGCTATAATATGAGGGGGGAAATAATTCTCTTAAATACCATGACCCACAGGAAGGAAATCCTTTAAATCCTCATCTCTGTAGGCAAGAGGACAGAAGGCAGGAAGCAGGACCCTGTGGAAACTGGGTTACTTCCAATTTTGCCAAGTTCAGAATCCTCTTGGAGTATCAAAAGGGAATTATAAAAACTGCCAGAGTTTACTTGGACTAAAATTACTACTACATGTTGTAAGATCTACAAATATCTTCTATAATTCTGCCTTTGAGTGCCCTTCTTAGCAAGAAAAAATTCACAAATTCAGATTTACCTACCCACACAATCCAGACAAAACTCCAAGCGCTCCTCCAGGCAGTACTGAGAGGAGATTCCTCTGAGTGTGCTTATGTGCCAAGTGACCTTTGGCAGATCAACAGAAAGGGAGGGACCCCAAGCTTCAGTTTCAGCATTGTACTACACTGAACAAAGTTTCTCCTTTGGTTTCTCTAGGGCGTTAACTAAGACTTCCTCTTCTTGTTAAGCAAGTAAACATAGATACTACTAAGAGCTGGCAGTTCTTGCTTAAGGTGGTAAAAAGGCTATCAGATGATGCAAATAACAATAGCTAGTACTGATTCAGAACTTATGTGTACTCTAAATGAACACTTTCTAGATAAATACTATTAATTCTCCCATTTTAAAGACACAGAATCTGAGATATACGGGTTAATAACTAACTTACGGGATTTGCAGGTGCAGCAATATGGTTAACTGAGTTAATGAAGACTTTCCTCTGGAAACATTTTTGAAACATGAAAATAAGTAGAATAAAGTTAAATGCATAGCTTTACTTGCACTAAAGAAAATCTCCTGATGCCAAATCAAAGCTAGATCCAATGGTGAAAGATAAGTACAAAAGCAAATACTGTTAGCTCTGGCTGCCAGAAATGATCACTAATGTTTCTTTAGCACTTAAACCTAGATTTAAACTGATAATGAAATGCCCCTCAAGAAGAGTAGACCAGAAGAAAAGTAAACCCTCCCAAGGGCAGGGCTGTGGGTAGATTTCTGGTCCTGCTTTTTTTCTAACAGGGGAAAGAATTTACACAACTGCATATGGTAGTCTTATAAGCTGCAAAGGGACAGAAGAGGTCGTCAGCACACGAGATAGTCAGAGCTGTCATCCAAAATCTACAAGGACAGTTCAAAAGTAGTAGTGTCAGAAGCATGGGTGTAGAATAAAGTCATTCTTTGTCTTAGTAAGACTTTAATCAAGTGAGCTTGTTTTTGAGAACTGGGTTAAAAGGGTGGGGGAAATGTTACAGTCAGAAATTAAAATCCTAAACCTCTGACACAACAGTTTTTGAATTCTATTCAAATGAGACTCTCCAAGCCACGAAATTAAGAAACTGCAAGCTAAGAAATTAGTACCTGGTCCACTAGAGTATCTGAAACAATCAAACATAAAACCATTTGACAGTAACACTCCATAAAAAAAGACTACCTGGATTTCTACAGATAGAAAAACCAAGCAACCAACCAATCCCTATATAAGACAGCCTTATAATTTAGAAATTCAAAAGTATGTAAGAAAATGATCTTCTGTGATTGAGCACTATCAGATATACCAAACAGAAAATTTAGTACCCATTTTTTAATATGAAGAGTCAAAACAGCACATTTAAATTATTAAAGAGATGAAGGAAGGAAAAATAAAGAATAGAAAATAACAGAAAACTAAAATGTCAGGTAGATTTTATAAAAATCAAATAGGATGTATTTGCATAAAGATTTGTACATTTCTCTGTGTTAGAACACTAGTTTTCTTTCTATAACTTAAAAATGGAATGGCATCGTGACAGAAAGAATTTTAACAACTATTCAGAAAAGCAATAATAAGCAACACCATTCCATTGTCAGAACCTACTGCACTCCAAACACTGTTTCCTCCTATTTCTCAAGCTCTGGATTACTCTGCCCTGTAAATCCTCCCTGGAAATTCTGTCCGCCCCCCCCCCCCCCCAGGCCATTCTTCACCATCTCCAGCACTCCTGCAGGAAGATGGAGTGGAAATTGTGGTGTGGCCCCCAGATCCCCTTTAAGGACTGAGGGGCTTATTCCCCAGTTGCTGTACTGCTGCCCCCAGACAGAACCCAGTTATCAGCTCTTGGGAGAACTGCCTTGATTAAAGTCTCATCAGTCAATGTCACAGCCCCTATCACATCTCTTACCCAAAGACTGGTTGACACACAAAATCTTTGTCTTCCCAACTGGGGTCAATGGAGAAAGAGCCATCCTACCATCCCAGCCTTAGAGGTCTCCATGGAGTCACTGGGGAGAACAGCAGGAAGTACTAATACATGATGTCACTGAAGAGTATTAGAAGGAGAAGGGAAAGTCTTCAAAATGAACAACAGAAGAGCAAAATTCAAGCCCAACATTTCAGAAGAGAACTAAAAGTGACCGAACCCTTGTCATTTTTAAGATAGTGCATCTTAATCCCATGGATCTGCCAGATGCCAAAAAAATGCTGCTGCATGTCAATAGTTTCCTAGAAATAAGGTACCAGGCACAGTTGACATTTCCTGGTAAAGTCACAGAGCTCTGATACATCTTTTGCTTCTGAATCATTGGAAAGGATGGTAACAAGTTTTATGAAAGTTTTATGAAAGGCTAATTAGGTACAGAGTGGCATATGACTAATCACTGTCCAGAAAATGAAAAAAACCTGCATGTTCTGAAAACAGCTGTAATCATTCATATGCACACTCAGGATGCAAAGACATGAGTCAAACCTAAGTGAGACTCATAGGTACATCTCATTGATTTTGCCTCAGCCTTTTTTTTTTTTCTTTAGTGATTAATTGACTTCAAAGCATCAGAGAGAGGGTGAGACAGAGAGAAATATCTGCCATCTGCTGGTTCACTCCCTCAGTGGCCACAACGCCTGGGGCTGGTGTGGGGAGCAATCCGGACTAGACTGAGTTACTGGAATTAAGACTTATTCTATGCATCTGCTCTCCCACAATATGGCGCTGGGAAAGAAGTAAACAGCTTCTGCACAGCTGCCTCCAGTTCAGCTAATAAACTGTAGGACTTGCTCCTGATTGGAGGAGAGCAGCGTACTCGGCGTGTGGGCAGCCGAGTTGGGATTGGCAGAGGAGGACTATAAAGGAGGAGAGAGACGGCATGCACCAGGAACATCTAAGGGGAACATCTAATGGGAACACCTGTGCAGCCCCCGAGAAAGCCGGCCGGCGGTGTGCCGCTCCCCTGCGGAAGTGGGGAATGTGGCCAGGGGGAACTGCCCTTCCACGGAGGTGGAAGGGACAGTAGCCAACCCGGGAAGAACCAGCAGCAAACCCGGGGAGGGCCAAGAAGATGAAAGAACAGCGCAGGGTTCTGTGTTGCTCCTCCACGAAGAGGGGGAGCGACAGGCTGGGGCTGGGCCAGACTGAAGTCAGGACCCCAGAACTCCATCCAGGTCTCTCACATAAGTGGCAGGGATCCAAAAATTTGGGCCATCATTTGCTGTCTTACCAGGCACATCAGCATGAAGCTGGACTGGAAGCAGAGCAGGCAAGGCATCAGTGCAGTGGCCCTACATGGAATGCCTGTGATTTAACCCACTGTGCCAGAATGCTAGCAGCTTCATCAGTTTTCTAAAATAGGGCAGTGTACAAGAAGTAGCCACATGAAACATATATTTGGAATGCGATAGATTTGGTTACTATACATTTTCTCAGTTTTTGAAGGAACCTTTAAATTCCACACCCACCCACATCTCTTCTGATAACTTTCCCTACATCCTGTATCTTGTAACCATCATACAAGGGGAAGATAAGACAGGCTACGGCAGAACCTGCCAACTAGGATTATCACATCCCAAATGACATGAGCTCATTTATGTAACTGTTAGGACAGCCAAGCAGAGTGGATCGCCAGTGTCACAATCCAGTCATCTTGGAAATATAAGCAGAACTTCACTTTCAGTTCCTGTACAGCTCAATCCCAGTTCCACATCTGTCTTTCATCCTTCCTCTCAAAAGATTCACTTTCTGCCCTGCCTTTGCTAAACAACCCTTTTTCTCCTTCTAATCTGAAAGCCTTTTGTAGTGGGAGTAAGACACTAATATACTAATAATATCAGAGTCCAAAAGAGCTTATTAGGAAAAACTCTAAACTACATATTGTCAAATTTCAACTATATATAAGCTAAGCTAGTTGAATTCATATGCACAGACTGGCCAACCAAATGCAGAAGGGCTAGGACATGTAATGTAATACACATTTGGGCAGAATCCTATTTAATGACTAGTATGTCAAAGGTATGTAAAAGGATAAACTTGCATGGCTTATGATAAAGAGGAATTATGTTGTTCACAGCAAAAAAGATAAAACAGCTTACTCCGTGTTTGGAGCTACTGTGTGGTCAAAGAATCTGGATTAAAGGAAGAGAAAAAATGCAAGTAGGCACTTCTTAAGGTAAATACACATAAATAGCAGGACCAGTACTACTTATTATTTACACATGATATTTAGACAAGTGAGATTAAAATTAATCTTCAAGTTTATAGATAGCATGAGTCTAAGTGAGAGAAATAGTGATTTGAGAAAGATGAACTTCAAAATGAGGCAATAGGGTAAATAAGAGAATAAAACTAGTTTTTCCTTAAATTGGAAAATTTTCAGAATACACTAGGGAAAATACCACATAAACCTACTAGATCATGGATTTTAAATATTTTCAATTTGAGAATCACTGTACTATTCCAATAAGACACGTTCTTATTTGGCCATTTTTATTTAAAAAATCAACAAATTTTTGGGGAAAAAAAGGAAACAAAAGAAAAAAGTGATTTTTTTATTTCCAATCATGTCCTATGACAAAAGACAGGTTGTAACATATAAATATCTTAGTACTAGGAAACCAAAGGCTAGGGTGTATGTACCAAGTCTGCCTCTCATCAGCTCTGTAACCTTGGATAACTAACTAACCTACAACCTATATTCCTCACCTATAAAGCAAGATAAGTTTTCAAGGTTTCATTCGTATGTAATACTCTAGAATGCTTCTCTAATTCAAACTTAAAAGGAGAAAATCTAGCTGGACAGATTTTGTCTCAGAGTAATAAGCAGTTGTATTATTTTCAATGCTAAAATGGTACATTTTCAGAAAAACAAAATAACTGAATATTAAAAAAATAAACCTAAGATGAATAAGAAAAAAATTATCATCACTTTTAGGACATCTGTAAATCTACCTCACAACTTTTCATGAAACACTTTTCATAGATTCTCTCATTTCTACTAAAAAAAAAAAGGCATTTAAGTAGACTCTTCTAAAACACAATGAGTAAAGAATTTCTGAGAGGCAGGGAAAGTAAAAGCTTTTGGAAGGTACAAAAGGCTCATGAAAAATGAAATTAAAAGATAAGTTTATTTTGGTGCAAAAACATTTTGAAATCTATGCATAACAGAGGTCATCAAAAAGCCCTTGGAAAATGTGTATTATGAAAAAACATGCAAGAATTTCAAAATTTTTGCACCAAATTAACTCATCTTTTAATTCCATCTTTACAAAGAGTTTGAAGTACACTAGCATCAATATTTCACATCTAAGGTCTTACTTAGACCTACCTGATTACACCTGAAGCAGATGGTACTAGCATTCCATTTGATAAATGTGCATCAAAAGAATGGACAAATTGTTCCTTATAGGGTGTCAGTTTTAGACTAATATTGTTATTCCCCAAACCTCTTCTTTCCACAAGTGAAAGACTGAAAAAGGGAGCATTTTAGCTTATTAAAAATTAAAGTAAGACTTTAAAAAAAAGACTGTTTTAGCTTATTAAAAATTCT